GAAGCTACGGGGAAGGAGCAGAGTACAAAGACAGAGTTTCATACAGTAAACAACTAACCGACTCTGAAGCAGCTTCATTCACGAGCATCTCTTACATAGATGGAGACAAGTGGCTTAATCAAACTGACCTACCTCTCCACGGTTAACTTTGAAGAGCACAAAGAAGATATTATCAGTTCTTACTGATGTATGTAAGCATTCTAATGCAGCTACCTAGTCCGAAACAATGCATAGACATATGATCTTACTAATTACCTTGTTGGAAATGAAAAAAAAAAAAAATCAGATTCTACTAGATTTTATGTTTCAGCAGACAATTAAAAAATTGTAGGTTTAACTTGTTCCTGCTTTAATAAGTAGTCATTGACTTAATTTCCTTTGACCTGACTCTCTTATAGTACATCTGTTGTTTACATAACAAAATTCATGTGCTATTAACAGCTCCCTTGAAGAATCTCATGATTTACAGAACTTACACCCCATCATAGATAGCTACCAGTGAATGATCCTTTTTCCATACACAGTCGTATGTATGTATGTACCAATGAATGATCCTTTTCCAAAATCTTAACCTTTGAAGCACACTGAAACACCCAAAAAACATGATCGAAAAGCATTATTCTACCTGGAGCCAAACACAAGTAGAAAGTCTTACTCTTGTTGAAGCGCCACCTAAAACATGACCCATTTATAATATTCCCAATGTCTCCTATAAGGTCAGCTCCAATATTCCAAGCAAGTGTGGCTTAGGANAATGAGCTATACATGTCAAACCCTTCGACAAAAATGAGTCTCTTGTTAATTTTTCNAGTGAAGCACCAAGAAACATTGGCTACTCCCGAGTCCTGAAGCATTCCAATTCTGCTTTCTACCACCAGATTTGGCATTAGAGCATGTACATTGGGATGCTCTCAAGTGTGTTCTTAAAATATAAATTATTAAAATTTGAGTAAAAGGAAGAAAGAGAGTGTTTTTGTGGGATGTATTGAATATAAAATTAATAAAATTTGAGTAAAGAGAAAAGATAGTGGGTGTGTTTAAATATAAAATTAATAAAAATTGAGTAAAATGAAAAGAGAGTGTTCTTAAAGTAGTACTTTTAGATAGTGTTCTCAAAATATAGTGAGAGTGTTTAAATATAAAATTAATAAAAGTTGAGTAAAATGATGAAAGAGAAGGTATAAAGTTGAATAAAAGGAAGAGAGAGTGTGTGTTTTAATAATTTTATATTTTAAGAACACACTTGAGAGCACCCCAATGGACATGCTCTTAGACTCGCTTGTGAGCACTCCAAATCCTAGTCAGATTTCTCGAAACGACGACACGTGTGCAAAAACGTAAAACTAATCCTCAGAAGACTCTACCTGAGATGGAGTCTTTCGGGTTTAGATCATGGGCTCAACAAGGCCCATCAAGTGCATACATTGCATTGGTGTGCGTTTGGAGAATGAGAAATCAGTCCCGATCGTTTATTGTTCGATAGGGATAGATACACAATAAACCTTACTGATGATAAATCAACCTCTCTCATAGTCAT